GTTTGTCCTGCGCCATGGCTGTGGAACTATTTTTTTGTACTAAAGGTGGAGGCAAGTCTAGATCAAACTAAACCAGAGGAAGTACGGTTCTACTAAAAAAATACAATTGTTTAAAAGAAATGGGTTTTTTATAGACTAAGTGCTAGTCTAGAATTTTGTTCTGTCAGTAGTAAGCGTCGACGTTAACGTCAGTATTACAAGCACTACCTAGGCCCAGAACGACGATTATTGTCAGTACTTCGAGTTGCTAGGATTGGAACTGATTGACTGGTGCTAATTAGTTTGGTACCAACATTACTGGTGTTCGTAACTTTGTTTTATAAACGCTGGCTATGCCTGAAAGTCATGCCACTGCACTGTAAACTCCGGGGCTCATAATCTCAAAACGATTTCTGTTCGGGTCAAAAGATCGATCCCAACAAGCAAAAAGAAACAAAACAAGGAAACTAAAAAACTAAATACGATTTTATGATATACACAACTTCGTTTGGTGCCCAGTGATGGATATATACTAGCCACACAAAGAAACTGTGTATACAATAAAATCATATTCACAGTTTCTTTTGGGCCCGTTATTTGTTGCAGGTAGGACAATGTTTGCTATGTATAGATAATATTGTCTGCAATAAATGATATGACATGACATAAGATCAAGTATGACTAAAATCAATGACAGTTAGAGACATTGTGTTCAGTAACAACATGTCCGTTTCATCACGGCGTGTCTGCTTGATGAGGGAGGAAAGCCCGAGGTAATGCAGGGCTCAGACGTTTACCACTTTGATGAAACCCACGAACACGGGGATGGTGCTGACAAACCTAGGAACATAATCAGGCTGAATGTGGGATTCGAACCGGGTAAAATTTCAGCTGGAAAGAATGTGTATAACACTAAGAGACAAAATATCTGTAAATCAAATCAAATATCAAAATAAATCTAAATTCATCAATGCTTGTTTGTTTGTTGTTGCACTTAGCAGTGTACCAGCTATATGATGGCCGTCTGTACATTATCAAGTCTTGAACAGCCAATCCAGTGATTGACATCATGTGCACCTATTTACGCAATAAGGATGCGATCACATGCATCAACCAAGTCAGCGAGCCTGACCACCCGATCCCGTTAGTCGCCTCTTACAAGCCCGGGTCATAGAGCCTGACCACCCGATCCCGTTAGTCGCCTCTTACAAGCACGGGTCATAGAGCCTGACCACCCGATCCCGTTAGTCGCCTCTTACAAGCACGGGTCATAGAGCCTGACCACCCGATCCCGTTAGTCGCCTCTTACAAGCCCGGGTCATAGAGCCTGACCACCCGATCCCGTTAGTCGCCTCTTACAAGCACGGGTCATAGAGCCTGACCACCCGATCCCGTTAGTCGCCTCTTACAAGCCCGGGTCATAGAGCCTGACCACCCGATCCCGTTAGTCGCCTCTTACAAGCCCGGGTCATAGAGCCTGACCACCCGATCCCGTTAGTCGCCTCTTACCATCACGGGTTGTTGAAGACCAATTCTAACTCGGATCTTCACGGGTCCTCATCGATAATTGAAAATGCAGTGAGCAACGTTGATGATATAAGCTATCGAAAGAATTAACGGAACGGGCCATATAAAAATACTCATTTGTTTCTCAAAACTTTCTAAATAAATGGGTATAGGTTGGTTGAATTTAATTTCATTATTACCCAGCCACATCATCTTAACTTCAAAACTGATAACAATGGCATGCAATGAATATCCTGATTTGCAAAATCACGCCAGTTTTTCCGGTTATGATAACGTGTCTCGTAATTTCAGGCTGAATAGAGGCTGAGTGCAGGCTGAGCTGAGGAGGGACTGTGAGTGAGTGAGTTGGGTTTAACGCCGCTTTTAACAGTATTCCAGTTATATCACGGCGTGCCAGCTTAATGTGGGAGGAAAGCCCGAAGTGATGCAGGTCTCAGACGTTTACCACTTCGGTGAAACCCACGAGCACGGGTATGGTGCTGACAAACCTAGAAACATAATCGGGGCGAACCGGGATACGATCCCACAATCATAGGATCCTGGCGTGCCCAAGGGACGCAACTCTGCACAGCGAATCGCGGCGCCTTAGACGGCTGGGCCACCCATGCCCCCGGAGGGACTTAGAATGAAATGGGGCTGACAGATTTATTACATACATGCTCTGGGGTTTGGAGGAAAGGGGCGGATCTTTGTCACACACTTTGGAAACTGTACTTACGAGACATTTGGATTCCACAAACAAATCTGTAAATGAATTAGTGAATGAATGTTGATTTACGCCGCAGTCAGCAATAATTCGACTTTATCACAGCGTCCTGTCAATAATAAAGTCTGAACCAAACAAACCATCAATTGTATCATCATCCTTTATTGTCTAGTGTAACATATCACATTATATCAGTATGTGTGTGTACCCCTTAATGTCGTCGATACTGCAATACTGGCTAGAAATAAGGAAGATTTACTAAAGAGGCTAAATGCCTTTGAACAATTACAGTAACTTACGGAAACGTAGAATTGATAAGGCAAATTGTAAAATAATTATATTTGTTGGACGCAAGACGGATTATTAATCTTCGTTTTTTGAACAACATATGTCTGGAAAACATATATTCGTGTAACTATCTAGGTATTATTTAGACAGTTTATTTAGTAATTTAGGCATCAAGGCCAACAGTACAATGCAGATTGGATATTAACATTTGTCACGTGATGTACATGGTTAGATTTTAAATCAAGTTACACATTCCTCATTATAAAGACATGTTTTAAGAATACAGAATACAGAAACAGCATGGATCATATCAGGATTTCCGGATTTGAGCAGATTTATCATTAACTGACGGTCTTTAAAAATACCTTGCAACATGGGGAGAATTTACAGCTTAAATGGGAACACGTTTCACATATAAGTAAGCCTGACATGGTATTCATCCTCCGGATGAAAAGTTTATACAAACAGAGTTCACAATATCACCGTCTTTGGACCTGCGACATACATTTACATTAAAATTGTGCAAAGAAATTCTAAGGTTACAATAAGCTAGGTATTATACAAGGTAGTGTACATTCAGTGTAACGAAAATAAGGTATATGTGAAAAAGACTCTCAAGCAATAAATTGTATATTATCCAAACCTAGATATTACAATGTATCATGTGAATGTCAGTTGAGACGACTTAATACCCTTGTAGTTCCTAGTATGGGTGTGTAGCATGGCGTTTCAAATATTTAACAATGTTTGAAAACATCCACCCCTGTTTCACCCCTTTGTATATGTAGTAGCGAGATAGTAAGACAACCTTAGTACATTGGTGTGATGAACAGAGTTATCGCTTTTGGTCAAGGATTCTATCAGCTTTAAGTCAAGGATTCTATCAGCTTTTGGTCAAGGATTCTATCAGCTTTTGGTCAAGGATTCTATCAGCTTTAAGTCAAGGATTCTATCAGCTTTTGGTCAAGGATTCTATCAGCTTTTGGTCAAGGATTCTATCAGCTTTTGGTCAAGGATTCTATCAGTTTTTGATCAAGGATTCTATCAGCTTTTGATCAAGGATTCTATCAGCTTTTGGTCAAGGATTCTATCAGCTTTAAGTCAAGGATTCTATAAGCTTTTGGTCAAGGATTCTATCAGCTTTTGGTCAAGGATTCTTACTGATAATTATTTGCAACTGTCATCCATTGTTTTTAGATGCTTCTTAAACATCCCGATATTCATTACATCAATAATAAATGACAAAATATGACCGAACATATTGCATTGTCTGTAAATCCTCAGCAGTGGCGGGTCAAAGGGGGTGGGGGGCGCTTTTTAACAAATGCATACCCAGCCCAGCCCAGCCCAGCCCACCCCATCCCACCCCAACCAAACAGTCTTGCTTGACAACGGCATAAGGATCTGTACCGAAACGTCGCCTTTACAGTATGAAAGAAGTTGTTATCCATGAATTGTGTCTACTTTGTCGCACCCAAACAATTAAAAAATGTTACCTACCATGATAACATATTGAATTTGTTGTTAAAGTAAATTAATAATGGTTTTCATATGGTGTTTGTGATTTTTCCCCGCACCTCTCCGTGTGCTATCACGTATAGCCTTGAGGTGAATAAGCGCTACGTTCTGCCATTCTTTTATGATATTTATTAAAACATAATGGAGATATAGTGCACTGGTAGTCGAGGATGTGGTAGCTTGAACAACGATGTGGTGGCACGAGGACGTGCAGTCAGCCGCGTGACACATTGTGACAACACGATCTCGTCATTTCTTTAAAAAAAATATATTATTTTTTTTAAATCTGCTCGGCTGGAAACTACAACTTTTAAACACAGTTTGTTACACGAAGAAAAATGAAAAAAAACCGCTAATTTTTTAACACCATGAGTCAGGTCGTTAGAGGGGAGGATCTCTCTAAGTACTTGATAACAGTACTGAAAACACATACGTTTCCTTATTATTCCATGCAAATGCTTCCAACAGATTTTCTGGCGCGTGCCATAAAGAAAATTTCCTGTCAAAATTCGGCTGACCAGATTATCTCAATACCAAGGTGACACCATGCCAGCGCGAGCGTAGCGCGTGGCCATCTCAGAGCGAGGCGCATCCGTAGTCCCTCAGCGGTTTGCCCCCACCCCAGGGTCCCCACGCCCTACCGTTTGTAAGAGGATTTGGCTGAAAAGTGTTGTAACAAAATGGGGGACAATTGTCCTCGTGTTTAGGAACACTAGTAGACACCTTGGGGCGAGCGATAAAGACCTTTTCATACACAGAACATCTTGATCGGACAGAGGGGATTTGAAAGCCGTCGGGCAGGGATTGGCGGCATAATTAGCATCCAGTTGGTATTGACATGTTGTGATGGGGAGAAAGTGCATCTGTATATAAAGCAGACTCGGGCTGCTTGATCAATTACAAGGAATATTGGTTTGTTGGCATTTAAGTCCATTACAGGGCTCAATAGCTTTGTGAAGACCTGGAATTAGTGCGAGTCAGCTGATCGTCACACACAGATCCACTGTTTGGAAGGAAGTCTTTGATAGGCATAGGGAGGCTTGGAAGGAGTAAAGCTTTGAAAGTAGATACTGAAAGTTTTTTTTCATCTGAACTGTATTAATTTGAGTACATTTCTACCTGTCCATCTGAACAGTTTGGGTCTGGACACAGTGGTGAACCAGCTTTAATTATTTTGTAGTTATATTGCGAGACTTTTTTAATCCAAGTACCATGATGGCTCAGTCGTGTTCGTACTACGTGCAACCCGATGTGAACGCCCTCGACGGCGAGGACAACTACAACAACTACAGCTACGACGATGGTTACGCCCAGTACCACCCCGACACCCCCGATTACCCAGCATGCGCTTACGCCGCGCGTAACCCCCGGGAGATTGGCGAGGGGGGATACGATGATGAAAATATGTGTCTCTCCCAGGGTCCGGGGATGCCGCCCGATTCACCCCCCTTCCAGAGATATGCGGCCAATGTACGCGAACGCAAACGCATGTTGAATATCAACTCTGCTTTTGAGGAACTCCGACTTCACGTTCCGACATTTCCGTTCGAGAAGCGCCTGTCCAAGATAGACACCCTCCGACTCGCCATTGCCTACATAGCCCTACTCAGGGACATCCTAATGTCACGTGCGGACCCCCTGGAGTTCGTGGAGAAGAGTCTGAGACAAGGGACGGACGGACACAGCGAGGCAATATGGAACACAAGCGGTAAATACAGTTTTAACATACATAATTCAAATTAATGGCATATAATAGAGTGAGTGAGTGAGTATGGTTTTACGCCGCTTTTAGCAATATTCCAGCAATATCACGGCGGGGGACACCAGAAATGGGCTTCACACATTCTACCCATGTCGGGAATCGAACCCGGGTCTTCGTCGTGACGAGCGAACGCTTAAACCACCGGGCTACCCGACCGCCCCCGCCTATAATAGAGAGTTTACTTTATTACTTAATAGTTACATTTAGTAAACTACAATATGGTTTATTGAAGTGTTTCTTAATCTGTAAATTTGAAGAGCGGCGGGGAGCCAAGTGATTACAAAGTTTGCTCGTTACGCCGAATGCCCGGGTTCGAATCTCATAATGGCAAAAATGGTGATGCCCATTTCTGATGTGATAGTGATGTAATATTACCAAAGGCGACGTAAAACAATTCTCACTTAGTCTGTTCGTTATATGAATAGACCTGAATAAGAAATCGGAACCTCTTTCAATGCTATTACAAAATATCACTGTCACCTACAGTAGCATATGTATACTACACTGCAGGACAAAAGAAAATATACACCCATGTTTGAAGGTGGCTAAAATGAAACAAAGAGGACATGGTTATTCGATGGAGACGTATGTGATACAGGTATCATAGTTGTTTTAGAACTTAAGTCTGCAGTGTTTCGGCGACAGTTTTCAGCCACGTATAACGTTTTTATAACGTTTGTAATTTGTTTTTGTCAAATCCATTTTGTATACTTTCTTTAGTTATTGGGGGCGGTCGGGTAGCCTAGTGGTTAAAGCGTTCGCTTGTCACGCCGAAGACCCGGGCTCGATTCCCGACATGGGTACACTGTGTGAAGCCCATTTCTGGTGTCCCCCGCCGTGATATTGCTGGAATATTGCTAAAAGCGGCGTAAAACCATACTCACTCACTCACTTGAGTTATTGTCAGGCAGTTTAAAGAAATATCGCTGTCACCGCAAGTAGCATATCTATATTACTCCATAAGAATGTTTTTTGAATATTGAAAGATACTTTGGTAAAGGATCGATAACACCTTCATGAATATACTTTGTTTTCAAAATGCAGTTAAACAAAAACTAAATAACTTTACTTATATTGCACGAGACGATTCCCATATAGTGTTTTGTTTCTGCTTGAAACTATTAATCTTAGTATTTCATCAGCGTTTATATTCGCATATGCTATTTCAGTTATACGAGGTATTACCACTGCTGATCATTGGCCATGTTAAATGTCAACACTGTATACGTAAATCTTTAAAATATGTTCGTATGTATAAGTAAATTAATTTAATACATGTTTATACATGCTGATATTGCTCTTGTTTACCTGTGTTCTATATAAATCAGAAATAAGAGTTGTTGTTTGTGGCATCCCCCGTGAGGTCATTGACACGCGTGACAGGGAAGTATCAAAATGTATTTACTCTATTAAATTCTCACAATAATCCTTATTAATCTTTATCAAATATATCTCTATAAAAATTACTGATATTACAAATGGTAAAATCAAAGCACCTACTCTATTAAGCTTAAATTACTAGTATCCTTAAAAATCAAACTTATTTTCTTTTCTCGAAAAACGTTTCATCATTTTACTCTATCCAAAATACATGAATAAAATCGAATTAAAATAAAATTGAAGTTTCTACACACACACGGAAATGGAGCACATTCTGATTTCTCTTGCATTCGGAAGTAGAGAAATACAACCCTCAATGGTAGTCTACATCTGATAATGTTTATATCCATTTTATTAAGTGAAAGGGATATGTATTATATACATATTCAAAATTAATTAAGATTTTTTCCTACCATTAAAACGCCAAATAAAACATCTCAAGCACACCTGTACATTCGGTTGTTTCTGTGTTAAACAGCTTTAAATATATCTTTTTTGATCAATTATAACAAAATATTTAAGTAAGTAACTTAACTAGGCAAAATGGGCGATTTTATAAAGTGAAAGGGATATGTATTTCTACAGATACAAACTTGATTAAGTTTTTTGTCCTATCACTCATACACTGCATAAATATGGTAATAAATGAAGTACTCTAATTAGATTATGTACTTTATGTCTTCATCGAATGAATATAATTACATAAAATAAACACATGATAGGGCAACAGCAATCTTCTAAGTTGCTTTAAAAAATCGACACGTATATCTTCTAAATGAGTCATTATATACCACGCTAAAAATAACGAAAATCCTTCTCCAGCCCCTGAAGTGTATAGAATATATCCCTTATGTCGTGGACATTACTCTGTTGTGCAACATCTCTGTATATGCAGTGGAAAATTCGTATTTCAGCAATTTTAACAATAGGAATCTGTAGATGTGTATTGTGTTTCGTATGGTAAGACATTCAACAAACAGGCAGTGAATATTTGAGTCAAACTATTTGAAGAAGATCGGTGTAATACCTGAATATTAAATATACAAAACACGCGTCTAAACTGTATACATGTGATTGTTTTAGATCAAACATACACCTTCAGTAAACATATAATTGTAAATTATATAGCTAAGTTATTTTATTACTGGGTTTGCGGATTGGCTGATGCATAATTTTCCAAATGTGGCATAAAATTAATATTTTGTGTTTTTTGTCCGGCCGAATGTGTTCACATATTTCAGTCATGAAAAAACTTCAAAGCACATGGGTAGAGGAAGGAACATGGCGTTTTTTATGCGATCACTTACAATAATATCTGAATTATTTCTTTTTTTTATTTAAGTCACCGAATAATATTATTTGTTAACTATAAAATTTTTAAAAAGTAATAGAAAAGGAAGCCATAGGATATTAAAATCATTTTAGATAAAAATATTTACAGTTTTATTTACTTCTACTAACAAAGATATATTCAGGGTTTTACACGACCAAGAAATATGCGTCTAGACAAAAAACTTTGCGTGTGAAATCTCGACGCACAATACTATTCATTGTACCAATTTTTTACAAGATATATAAAGGTCCTGTAATTACAATAATTATCAAACGTTACAGTACACTTCCCCATTTCATTACTTTACAAGACCCTAATATTTTCTGTAAGGACTCTTAAAATTTATTATCGGGGATCCTCTGGACCTCTCGTTTTGTAAGGTAAAAAAACAAGATATTATTTTTGCTTTTTATTCAAGTATTCATTACCCAAATTGATAAGTATTGTTTAAAATGGTTCAGTTTTATGGGTTTTTTTCAAATTTAACATTCAAACATTAAAAGTGTCTCCAAATAAAATTGTATAAAATCAGTTGTTATAATGACATAGCTTATGTTTATTCATCATCCGGTTTGAATAATAATCGTGTGTTTCCTTGTTGTTTAACGCCGCACTCAGCAATATTCCAGCTAAATATATATGACGCGTTCCCATCAATAAATATATCAACGACAGACATCTATGCACTAAAATGATAACGAGAATTGTGACCAGATGAAAATTAATTGTTCATCATAAACGAATATTACATATGGCTGAATTTGTCTGACCTCGAAGTTACTTGTTAGTACAGACCCGTTTCTCAATTATATCCTCCTGTTTAAAGGGAAGTGCGACGAAAGTGAGACCAAATATGTTATCAATGTGCCACGCTTTGCACACAATCCATGTATGTCCGTGGTAGAAAAGGATAAAGGATTATGAAACAATCCACCTTTCAATCAACCTTTATTCTCATAGTAACTACACACGGTGATACAATAGCACAGGTAACATACCCGCTATGTGTTACATAAACCTGATGACAAGGCGGTATGACGGAAAACACGAGGAACTGTCTCGTGTTGACAGTTTAAACTGCAATTGTATAAATTTAAAGTTTTTTTCAGTACCTTTTAATTTCGATGAACATAAAAGTTGTTGAAAAAGTTGTATTCTGATCTTTCTCTTTCGAGGGCGTTAGATTTAAACAGAGAATGAAATTCGTCTCCGATATCTGTTGAATTGCAGGGACGGCACTTTCTCTCCTCTCGGGAAAAACCATGCTATCTTTCAGATTCCAGCTAGATTAAGGTTTGGTGTTCTAAATTGAAATACAGGATATGAAATCATTTTTGGGAGATGTGAATATTTTTCGAGGGCTGCGAATTTTTAATGAAGAATTGACCGTCAAGTACTGTTCCACGATTGGAAGAACAGATCTTTCAATGTTATATTTATATTTGATGAAATCCATGAGGTGTTTAAGTCCTGGGGCGTATGGAATATGAATGGGTAAATATTAAATCAAAGACAGTCATCTACACTTAATTGTAATTTGCCGGGTGAAAATGTATTTTTTAACCAAAGACGAACATTTGATAACATATTCACATACGTATTATGTATTATATATTGATATCTTTATCTTTTCGTACATGGAAAGGCCACATGCCCATTTTAAATACAAAATATATTAATGTGCTGTGCTGTGCACACGATATGCATGTACAGTGGCTGTCCGGAAACCACGCCTACAGGTCAATAGTTACGTGAAACGAAATATATACTACATAAAACCTTCATTTATCCGGAAATTCGGATCCGGATCCAGACACTGAATTTCAATAACCAACAGTGAGAAATACACATTATTGTGTCCGACTTTCCGGACAACGGCCACGCTGCCCCTGGTAGGAGGCTACTGATACAATACACAGCTTAACCCAACATACTAAAATATATAATCTAAGATATATATCAGGTATATAAACATAAACTGGTATATATCATGCATTATATGTACACAATATTTATATATCGACCGATAAACCCTGAAATAGGTAGTGGTATTAAGTACATAATTTATTCATGTTTTAACATTGTACAGTGGAGACATCAGAGTGGGAAAGTACACCGCCGGGCCACACTTGAAAACTGCATCTGACTCAAAAAATATAAACATTATCAAAACGTTACTTTGGGCTGAAAACAGTCACCGAAACACTGCAAACTTAAGGTCGTAAATGGGAAATCGTCCCATGCAATATAAACAAAGTTATTTTGCTTTTGTTTAACTGCATTTTGAAAATAAATATATATTCAAAGTCAAAGTCAAAGTCAAAAGTAGTTTTATTTTTACAAAAGGCCTCCGGCCCATATACAAGAGAGAGTTGCGCATGTAGACACAACCATAAATGTTACACATTGGGATATACACGTTGTTTAATTAATTCATTTCTTTAGGCTAATGCATGCTTATTATATAGAGAAAGGTTTAACATATGAGATTCGTTCTTTGTCGTCAGAATAACTACAAAGGCGTGTATGGGTGACATTGCTATAAAATAATCCTTCATATATTTCTTTCGGAGATCATTGTAAAATTTCATGAAGGCGTTATCGATAGTTTACCAAAGGTATCGTTCAATATTTAAAAAAAACCCACGTTTTTATGGAGTAGTATAGATATTATATGCGGTGACAACGATATTTTGTTTTAAACTGCCTGGCAATAACTAAATAAAGTATACCTATGAAAATTGGATTTGACCAAAAAAATTACAGCCGTTATAAAAACGTTAAACTAGGCTGAAAACTGTCGCCGAAACACTGCAGACTTTAGTTCCAAAACAACTATGAAACCCATGTCAAATACATCATAATCGAATAACCATTTCCTCTGTGTTTCATTTTTAGCCACCATGAGACATGAGTTGAAATAAGAATAAAAATAAAATGATATCTTTAGCTGTCGGTCTAACGGAAGAAAGAAACGAAATCAAAAACGTTATCTTTTAATGAAAGCCCAAATCTCTTCCTTTTCTATTATTAGCTGCTTATAAGAGAATTTCATAATTGAAATAAGTACCAACAAAAAACAATATTCTCATTATTTTTAACGCATACGTCATTTGGGGTAGGCTGATCTGTAACGTAATTAAATAAAACAACGCCTTTTCATAAATATTACAAAAAATCATATCCATGTTTCCTTTGATTGATTTTCAAGTGCGCTTTAGTATATAATAACTGGTAAGATAGAATTTTAAATACAGACTTTGTCTCAGGTCTAGATTTCTCCACGCAACAGAGAATTTTAATTTATTGCTGGGGCATCCAAATATTCAAGCACCTCCTTCGTGGATAACACTCTGTGTGTCAGTATACGGGTGGGGTATTCACGTTAACAATGCGGCATGGTATTTCTCAGGGGGCTAGCACGTCGCTGAAAAAGTGCAGTAATCTTGAACGCGACGTAAACTCTATTTCACCTCACCTCCAAATCCAAGATATTCCTTCTTCCATTCACACATACACCATTTCTCTCCTCAGATCTCACCGCGCGGCTGTCGTGGGTGAAGTGGGAGAGCCTTGGGGTGCGACGCCGGCCCTTCCTTTCGTCCCTCCCCTCAACAGCCCGAGGCACCCCCGGGGAGGACTGATGACTGCCAGGGTACAATACTGAGGGGTGTGCGTGGGAAGACATGATATTGGGAACAAAGTCACTGTCAACGTGTGGAGAGATTCTCCACTGAAACTTCATAGCTCTTGTTTTCATGATACGATTGTATATATACTCACCGTCAAAAGAAACGCGAACCATAGAAACATATAGAGTATGATCGTTAAGAGTGAGTGAGTTAAAGTTTTACGTCACATCGGCAATATTTCAGCCATATCGTGACGAGTGATCGTTAAGAAGTGATGTTTCCAATGTGTACCAATTGATGACAAAACTAACAAGCAGTCACGTGTTACTAAAGTGTCTCTATTCTTATCGCGATATGATGCACGTGATTTCCAAACTTTACACGCTAATCCTGCACCAGACAAATAGAGCATCTCGAGTCATGGATCTATGACGTCACATGTGACGCGTTCGTGACGTCGGTTCACACAACACACATCGCTTGTGCGTCGAACCAATCTAATATCTCTTGAATTTGAGTAATTCTTGGATATATTATCCAACATGTATGGTATTCGCGTTTCTTTTGTCGGTGAGTATATATCAAATTGTTGGCTGAAATAATGCCGATGCGACGTTAACTTTTAACTCACTCACTCATAGCTCCTTTAAACATATGAACTCTGACGGGTTTAGCTTCGAGACAAAGCTATATACTGAAAAGAAGAGGTTGAATTCAACAAATTTCAAAATGCAAAACCAAATACCGAGTTTATGTGTATGTGTGCGCGCGCGCGCGTGTGATGTGTGTGTGCGTGCGTGCGCGTCGCGGGAACTGCTTGTGTACCGCCAACAACACGTGCGTGGAACAAACAACAGGGAACAAACACGAAGTTCTTGTTGCCACCACGATCAAATATAAGTGCCAAAGACTGACCCATGGATTCTCTAGAACTCTTCGAGGCCTCCACGCCATGACCTACGCGTGCAACAAGTGACATCCTCGACCAACTCGTGTCATTCCGAGACATGCCGTCTTGCAGATTACGGAAAGGTGCACGTTTTGACGAATGATCATGTATTTCATTTTAAAAAACAACAACATTCTTATGTGGTTGCAGAATATGCACATACCCCTCTCGTCACTTGTTGCCGGGGAGCATTGTGGAGATGGGAAAATAATTAACTTGCGTGTGTTCTCAGTGTCTTGGACACTAGTTTCAGTCTGACTTTATTATTTTTCGAATGAAAGGACGGAAAATTACGAAAATAATGCCGCTGATTTTGATCGGAACTGAGTCTCGGTTCCACCGTCAGCAAAAGCTAGAGACCGTTCACGCATCGTTCTAAAAGGTCGGTCCTAACTGGGACCCGCTGAGGATTTGCGACAGTCCTAGCGCTAATATCACTTCTTTGAACTGGAGCCGAAATGAAGATGTCATGTTGAGAGCATGTTTATGAGTGATCTCAATTAACAAGTGCAATATATTTTGAATTAAGTGTTCTTTTTTTAATTATTATTTTATTTTTATTTGTTTCCCAGTACACAAAATGTTCATTCAATTTGTTGATGCATGTGGATATTTATTGCAATTGTTAAATAAATACTTACAACGATTGTACGTCTTAACTTGATTTGTGTGTAAGAGTTTGTGGCAGTGTTGTCACGACCCCGAGTGTACAGTACATTCACCCTTGGCACCCACTCATCCGATAGTAGGAGACCAGATGGTGGAAACACATAGAGCTGAAACACAAGTGTCAAAGCATGTGGTGTCACCCTGGGCAAGTGACTTAGTTCAAGTGTGCATTTGTTCACCCACACCTTGTCCTGACCGCCACACCTTGTCCTGACCCCCACACATTGTCCTGACCCCTACACCTTTTCCCGACCGCCACACCTAGTTCTGACCCCCACACTGAGTCCTGAACCTCAACCCTTGTCCTGACCCCCACAGCTTGTCCTGACCCCAACACCTTGTCCTGAACCTCAACCCTTGTCCTGACCCCCACACCTTGTCCTGACCCCTACACTTTGTCCTGACCCCCACACCTTGTCCTGACCCCCACACCTTGTCCTGACCCCCACACCTTGTCCTGACCCCCACACCATGTCCTGACCCCTACACTTTGTCCTGACCCCAACTCCTTGTCCCGACCACCACACCTTGTCCTGACCCCTACGCTTTGTCCTGACCCCCACTCCTTGTCCTGACACCTACACCTTGGTCTGACCCCTACACTTTGTCCTGACCCCAACTCCTTGTCCTGACCCCCACACCATGTCCTGACCACCACACCTTGTCCTGACCCCTACACTTTGTCCTGACCCCAACACCTTGTCCTGACCCCAACACCTTGTCCTGACCTCAACACCCCCACACCATGTCCTGACCCCCACACTTTGTCCTGACCCCGACACCTTGTCCTGACACCCACACTTTGTCCTGACCCCTACACCATGTCCTGACCCCTACACTTTGTCCTGACCCCCACTTTGTCTTGACCTCCACACCTTGTCCTGACCCTCACACCATGTCCTGACCCCTACACTTTTTCCTGACCCCCACACTTTGTCCTGACACCCACACTTTGTCCTGAACCTCAACCCTTGTCCTGACCCCCACAGCTTGTCCTGACCCCAACACCTTGTCCTGAACCTCAACCCTTGTCCTGACCCCTACACTTTGTCCTGACCCCCACTCCTTGTCCCGACCACCACACCTTGTCCTGACCCCTACACTTTGTCCTGACCCCCACTCCTTGTCCCGACCACCACACCTTGTCCTGACCCCTACACTTTGTCCTGACCTCAACACCCCTACACCATATCCTGACCCCTACACTTTGTCCTGACCCCCACACTTTGTCCTGACCCCCACACCTTGTCCTGACCCCCACACTTTGTCCTGACACCAACACTTTGTCCTGAACCTCAACCCTTGTCCTGACCCCCACTCCTTGTCCCGACCACCACACCTTGTCCTGACCCCTACACTTTGTCCTGACCTCAACACCCCCACACCATATCCTGACCCCTACACTTTGTCCTGACCCCCACACTTTGTCCTGACCCCCACACCTTGTCCTGACCCCCACACTTTGTCCTGACCCCCACACCATGTCCTGACCCCTACACTTTGTCCTGACCCCTACTTTGTCCTGACCTCCACACCTTGTCCTGACCCTCACACCATGTCCTTAACCCTACACTTTGTCCTGACCCCCATACTTTGTCCTGACCCCGACACCTTGTACTGACCCCCACATCTTGTTCTAAACCCCACACCTTTTCTGACCCCCACACTTTGTCCTGACCCCCACATCTTGTCCTGACCCCCAGATCTTGTTCTAAACTCCACACCTTGTCCTGACCCCCACATCTTGTCCTGACCCCAAGATCTTGTTCTAAACCCCACACCTTTTCCTGACCCCCACACTTTGTCCTGACCCCAATATCTTGTCCTGACCCCCACACCTTATTCAGACCACACCTTGTCCTGACCCCATTCCTTGTTCTGACCACATCTTGTCCTGACCCCCACACCTTGTCCTGACCCCCACACTTTGTCCTGACCCCAATATCTTGTCCTGACCCCCACACCTTATTCTGACCACACCTTGTCCTGACCCCATTCCTTGTTCTGACCACATCTTGTCCTGACCCCCACACCTTGTCCTGACCCCCACACCTTGTCCTGACCCCCACGCCTTGTTCTGACCTGCACCTTGTCTGAACTCTCATGCCTTGTCTGGACCCTAATGCCTCGTCTCAACTCTTGCACCTTGTCTTGACCCCAAAGCCTCGTCTGAACCATCAGGCATTGTCTGGACCCACATACCTTATCCCTGTCTTAGGAGAATCACATCTAACAATCAGGCTAGCTGTGTGTTATCACACCCCGTCCAAACAGAACATTGATGTGTTTGTTGAAACTTGTTTGAAGCTGCACACAGCAATATTTCTGCTATATGACAAATAATTAAGAAAGGACCAGACAATCCAGTGACTGACATCATGATTCAAGCTATTGGAATAGCTGATGTGCAATCAACCGAGTCGCCAAACCTGATCCATTCAGTTGCCTTTAACAAGCATTCCGTAGAGGGGAATGTCCGAGTAGCTCTCTATTCCTTAAAAATAATGGAGCGTTCAAACAATAGAATGACGTCACAGATGTGTTTTAATGTTGAGGACTAACCTGGAATCCCCACAGGGCCATTGATCATGCAGTCCACCATTGCTTTAGTTTGTTGTTTAACGCAGCACTCAGCATATTCTAGCTACATGACGGTGGTGGGGGCACGGGTGGCCCAGTCGTCTAAGGCACCGCGATTCGCTGTGCAGAGTTGTGTCCCTTGGGCACGCCAGAAACCTATGATTGTGGGTTTGAATCCCGGTTCACCCTGATTATGTTTCTAGGTTTGTCAGCACCATACCCATGCTCGTGGGTTTCACCAAAGTGGTAAACGTCTGAGACAGACATTACTTCGGGCTTTCCTCCCACATTAAGCTGACACACTGTGATATAACTGGAATACTGTTAAAAGCGGCGTTAAACCCAACTCACTCACTCACTCACATGACGATGGTCTGTAAAATAATCAAGTCTGAACCAGACAATCCAGTGATTGACATCATGAGCTTCGATCGACACAATTAGGATACGATGACATGCATCAACCAAGTCACCGAGTCTGACTATCCGATTCCCGTTCATCGCCTCTTACAACAAGCATAGTTGCCTTTTAGGCAAGCAGAGTCGTCTCTTACGACAAGCATAGCCGCCGTTTACAGCAAGTATAGTCACCTTTTACGGGAAGCATACTCGCCTCTAAGACAAGCATAGTCGCCTTTTACGGCCAGCACAGTCGCCTTTTACGGGAAGCATGGGTTGCTGCAGGCCACTGCTTTAGTCTGGTCCATTTTCTTTACAGGAAAATGGTGATACTGGTATATCTGGAATACTGGTTACTAAAGCATTCAAATGTGTGTTTCTAGTTGCCTAACGCCTCACAGTGGCCTGTAAATACTGGAGTTGGGACCAGACGATCAAGTGATGAATATTCTGCACAACTTTACACGCCAACAATGTGGAAGTTAACAAAAACAATAACAAGGCAGAATAATAATTGTTATTCTTTATTTACAAGGTTTTATTTATCAGAATAAATATCACATTTTCACACATAGATGTATTCATACCTTCATTGAAATATCAAACATGACATATTCCCGCAGTAACATTGTGCTCCCTATACCAGTCCCAGACGATTATTCCGGATCGCACGGAATGATTTGCAAACGACGTGACTTACAACAGATTTGCAGAAAACTCTCGGAATGCCTTTTTTAAAATCAATCAATACACTATTTTTCATTAATTTCAACCTTTTCTACAGAATTTTGCACTCGAGTGATGCCCAACCGTGCGATTGATACACAGAACAATATGAATCCTACAATACAAAATTTTATATAAATATTTCTCACTTTTAAATGTTCTTGTGACTACATAAAGTTGACATATTAAACCAAACCTAAATTTCTAAAAGCAAGAGATTAACATTTGAAAATAAAATAAACAATTTCGTATTAACTTTTTTTTATGGGAAATGGTTGGGTTTTTTTCTCAGAAATTTGGTAATTTTACTGTAGAATTTGTCTGGGACTGATAGTCTGATATACAACAAAAGCAGACCTTTGTGTCCATCAACACAATTCTGCACAACACTGGTCAAGTTGTGTAACATAGATACAGGTAATATCACTTAAGTGGTATCAAACAAGGATCTAAAATTAGAAATAGAAACACTGATATGTGAAAACAATGTGTCTCACCATAGTACATTCTCGAATATCCAATTATATGATGGCGGTCTGTAAAAAATAGAGTCTGGACCAGACAATCCAGTGATTGGCATTATGAGCATCGATCTATGCAATTGGGATACGATGACATGCATCAACCAAGTCAGCGAGCCTGACCACCCGATCCCTTTAGTCGCCTCTTACAGCAAGCATGGGTTGGTGTGAATAGGTCCAGGTGAGGTGAGGTGAAATTGGGTTTAACGTCGCATCCAAGATTATTCACTTATATAGCGACGTGCATGCACGTATGTGTGTGTGTGGCTGCTTGTACTTGTCCGGACTGATGCCGATTTATAGTGCTAGCACACTGAGATACCATGCTGCAGTTTAACGTGAATACCCCACTCAGACACAGTATACTGACTCCGAGCCGACCAGTCCTTGTTTTAGCCCCTTAATGCTGAGCGCCAGACAGGGTAGCAACAAGTACCATCTTTTAACATCTTTTGGTATGACACGGCCAGGGAACAAACCCAGGACCTTCCGCTCTCCGGGCGGACGCTCTACCACTAGACCACGGAGGCAGTCGAATAGGTGCAGGTATTGATAAAGATACAACATACAGGACAATAGAGGGTGATGATTGTTTGGGCACAAAATGACCATCAATACCTAAAATAATATATCAAAACAAAAATAATTTAGACAATACCTTTTCAACCACATGTTCTGTTGTTTGTCAACAATGGTAACATAGTAATACAAAATCCATCATAATATTCAGTTAGAAACTAGATT